ACAGAGGGGAGATTTAGATGGGGTATTAGGAAAAAGTTCTTCCCTGTGAGGGTGCTGAGGCCCTGGCACAGGTTGCCCAGAGAATCTGTGGCTGTCCCATCCCTGGCAGTGTTTGAGGCCAAGCTGGACAGGGCTTGGAGCAACCTGGTCTAGTAGAGGTGTCCCTACTTGTGGCAGGGGGTTGGAACTAGATGAGCTTTGAGGTCCCTTCCAACCCAAACCATTCTGTGATTCTATGGTATCTGAGCATGCTTTCGCATCCATTGCACATGGCAGCTATTAGAACCAATTTGGATGAAAGATAAAGTTGTAATTAACTTGACATTAACTGCACTTGCCTTAAAGATTGTGTTTAGTAAGTACCACCAGGTTTCCCAGAAGAATTTGAATGTCTTGAACAAAATATACATTTGATGGAGCATGGAGTCTGAAATCAAGATTTCCCTTCCTGCAGATGCTGTTAAAAAACAGCTCTACTCTCTCTGTGGTTGAGATAACTCAGCAGATTGCCATGAAGCAAACACCCATTTCTCTAACAGAGGAACTCCCTTTGGTTTCTGATCTGAGTATCTTGCAACAAAGCTTCAACCCAGAGTTGTTGCTGTGATAAACGTAAGAAGCAGCAAGCAGGATGTGGCCAGAGGTGACTGTCTTCAGCATTCAAAGATAAGCATCCTATATTGCATCTTAAATTACAGGATGGTCATGAGAACACTGAGTTTATTATCAGTTGCACTAGCTCTGTCTTCTAGTAATGAATAAAACTATCAATACCCTTTATAAATTACACAAGACTGTATCTTGAAATATATCCTTTGCCTGCATGGTACTATATGGTACATCCCTCATTAAGATCAGCCAACAAGACAGAAAAACTACGCCAGAGGTCCCATGTCAGTTCATCTTTTTGAACAGCCCTCCAGAGGAATAAAGATGCAGCATGCAGTGCACAGTTTAATTAGTTTATTTTTTAAAGTCCTGTCAGAAATATAGCTGTGCATTAAGTACAAAATATATATTAAACAATCTATTGCTGTTTCCAAGGGAACAGGAGTACTTTCATTCTGTTCAAATGCAAAACAATATAAACCTTTAACACTGACGCCAGAATCATGTTTTGCACCCATCATCAATGTATTTGATATGAAAGCATCTCTAAATAAGAACAGAAAGGCCACCTTCATTTTATTTCATCGGCAAGTTTAATCCCACAGCAAACATGACCAGGCATATCATGAGACCAGTTCAAGTCTATACATCTCACATTATCTGAGCTCCCACATATACATTACATAGCAACATCTTTAGAAAAATAATTTTCCCTGCCCTGCAGGGGAAGACATTCAGAGGCAAAAAGGAAACACATTTGCAATATATTATACTTGGAGAATTTATGCCATAGCAGCTTTGCAAGGACACATACTAAGTATGGCTGGCTTAAGCCACATTCAAGACAACCAAAATTTGGGACATAAAAAAAGCTAAGCCACTCTAACCCACCTTGAGATCCAGTAATGCTACAAGGCATCGAGAGCTACAGACCTAAAGAACCCCATTCCTGAAGAAATTACGCAGGCAAGTGGTTAAATCCTCTAATTTCTTCCTACTTGTTTTAGAAACAGCTCTCAACCCTGCATACCTTTCTACTTCCATTTAAGTAGTTCTAGCAATTACACCTCAATCCACCATGATAAAATGATTTCTCAAAAGAAAAGGAGAGATCTGGAGGAAGGTGAAAAGAGGCTGTTTCAGTGAAAATGCATTTTCACACAGAAACTGAATCTCTTTGTGCTAAACTTACAAAAGTTCAAATACAAGGCAACAGTCACAAAGACTATACATTGAGATGGCAAAGATGTAGACTCCTGAATTCTTCCATTAGCTGAAGTTCTTATTTGTAGGAGAAAGCTCTGGAACTGCAGTTAAAATGAAGAGTAGCTTGGAAGGTGGGGAAAGAAAGAGGAAAACAGAATAAATATGTAAATAAACATTTCATTAACATTTATAATTTTTCATGAAGGTTAAGACTTAACTGATACTTAGCAAATTAGCTGAGAGTCTCTGATGTAAAACTCTGGCATTACAGTAATTTGGCATCCCTTGGAGTTCTACCTGGTAATATTAAAATACAAAAACAGTAGAATAGCAGCAGTGACTAAAGCATCCATGTTACTGTGGCCAAGGCAGTGTTATATATGCAGTAGCGTTCTATTCCCTATCTGTTTGTGTTACCACACAGTATTAACCCAAATCATTTAAACTCCTGAACCTGCCACCAAACTGAGGTTCCTCTCAAGGCAGAGCTGCCAGATCTGGCAGATAAGGAAGGCTCAAAGCAAAATTTCAGTTCATGACACAAAGCTTCAAAGGGAAAGAAAGTTACTAATGCACTTGGTGGGTCTTGGATATAAACTATTAGAACACAGATTAAGGACATTTTTTGTTAGGATCACTAGGGTTGAGAAAGTAACTGTGGCAGGAAGAAGCTCTCAAATTACAAGTCTCCTGCTCCCCCACCCCCTCAGAAAAAATAAGAGAGGAGAATGGTAGTCTTTAAGCATCTTGAAAAAACATGAATAACTAATATAGCTTGAACTTTAGGTTAGATGTAAGGAAGAAGTTCTTCACAGTGAGGGTGGTGAGGCACTGGAATGGGTTGCCCAAGGAAGTTGTGAATGCTCCAACCCTGGAGGCGTTTAAGGCCAGGCTGGACAGAGCCTTGGGCGACATAGTTAAGTGTGTGGTGTCCCTGCTCATGGCAGGGGGGTTGGAACTAGATGATCTTAAGGTCCTTTCCAACCCTAACTATTCTGTGATTCTATGAAAATGACCAGAGAACAAGTGTACAGTGCCTTCTGGTTACAGTGGGCCTGGGCACTGTCACGGACATTAAAAGCTCTTGGTTAAGAATGGTTTGACTACTAGGCATAGTCTAACTGAAGATACTCTGAAACAATCCTGCTAATAGGATGAGGCTGTTCAGTATAAAAACTACTTAAGAGGTTTAAAAAGACAGTTTTAAAGCATGTATCTCTTCCTGTTTTGAGTAATATATACTCACCTGTCCTCTAAACACACAGAATACACTCAGTCAGTCAATGACTGACTGCACTTACCACTAGTCAGGAAGTTCATGTTTCACTAGTGACAATACTCCATTTAACATAATCCCTCTTCAACTAATAGGCTCTATCTGCAAAATAAACTTTAGTCATCTGAATATGATGAACAAAGTGGTAGGTTGGGTCCTGGAGTTTTTTGGTCTCCCAAATCCATACACTGTAGTAGTCTTTCATTAGCCTTGTATGTATTAAGCATACACATTTCCCCATTGATAATCCCTACAGCATTGATTTGATGAGGCCAAATAACTGCAATACTCTTCAGTATCTTTTAAATTGAAGTGTCTCAAGTCTTTAGGTTGCTTCACTAGGTGGGAGAAATAATACACATATGCTTATGTATCACTTGGTTCTTTCTTCAGGATCAAACTCTGTACTTAAGTTTTCGGGTGGACAAAACCTTTTTCTTCACTCCTTTTAAAGACAAGAGCCAGACATTATCAGCATCATGATAAACTTAAAATTTTTAGCACCAGTGAACAAGAACTACTCAACTGTGGTCAAAACTAACATTGTTGTGGCACACGCAATCAATAACAGAAAGCAATAACATACACAAACATTAGTAAACTCCTGAATTGTTGCCATAGTGAACTTAGTGTTTGGTAAACAAGGAACTATGGATTTTCTTCCTAAGAGCAAACAGGATTGCAATTTCTCCTCACACTGTCAACAGGTTTTTCTCTGCCCCCAAAGTGTTGAGGGCAGCCCAGCTCCTATTGTCTAATAGTACCGGAAATACCCACAGCAGATGGATGTTGATATGGCCACTGAGAATTCACAGGAGACAACAGAAATCGTAAGTCACCCACAACACCAGCAGATCACTTGAACAGCTGCAAGTCACAAGTTCACCTTTGGTACAAGTTCAGGTTTGAACAACAGTAAACCCAATTCTGCATCACCCTATGTAGTTAGGACATACCTTCACTCATGTATCCAACTCACAACCTGAAAAAAACCATCCAGCACTAGGAGATCCCACCAGCACAAAGGTATCTCATTCAACTGCTACACTTTTCTCTCTCTGGTGATGGTGACTGACATTCTGGGCCCAGAGCACACACTTACAAAAACATTCATCAAAATAAAGAATTGCGGGGCACTTTCAGAACACATTAAAAATATTTCCTCAGTAAACTTGGGTCAGAGTTATTCAGCCTTCTCCAGAGTTATTTAGCCTTCTCCAGAGTTATTTAGCCTTCTCCAGAGTTATTTAGCCTTCTCCAGAGTTATTTAGCCTTCTCCAGAGTTATTCAGCCTTCTCCAGAGTTATTCAGCCTTCTCCAGAGTTATTCAGCCTTCTCCACAACACTACCACATCTTGCAGAAATACTAGAGTCAATTCTACATCAACATGCAACTTTCTGAAGAGAACTGCACAGAAGGGAAGGGCATACCTCAACCCTACGTGTTTTGAGCAAAGCCTTAACCTGACTTCAGATTTCATGAGAAGCACGGTCAATTCAAAATCTGTCTCAACTCTCCACAGCGCTGTGAAAAACAAAACAAACACCCCCCACCCCACCCCCTTATCTTCATTAATTTAGCTATTTCCCTGATACAGTATCTATTCCAAGGCACTGAGGTGAAAAGATTTACAGGTCTTTTCTGATGAAGTTTTGCCCAAGATGTAGAGATATGACAACAGAACTTTCCTGTAGGCAGTTTTGATTGACAACACTTCATTTAGTTAGCTTGCTACTGAAGTAGCTTATTACTTTAATAGAGAACAATACCAAATAATTGAACACATGACCTCATCCAGAAAAAAAGTATACCAGCAACAACGAAATTCTATTCTGGTGAAGATGGACTATGCTGGCAACTATGATCTTTTATAAATGCAGCATGTATGGATGATGAAGCATAATCTGTGGTGGAAGAACATGACTAGTGGCTCTTCTCTGGTTAAGACTTACAAGCTACATAGCTCCATCAGCACTGCGAGCTTGAAATCCCTCTCTGCGGAGACTGTTTAAATCTAGACGTGTTAGAACTTCACAGCGCACCAGGAGCGTATCATCCTTTACAAAGGTTCTTTGTTTCAAGGTTTGCAGGTGCATGAAAGTCACATAACCAAACCCTTTTGGATTGCGGTGAATTGTTGGTCTCTGGAAGGCTAGTAACTCTGGCTTGGCTTCCATGACTTCTTCATGATTCTGCCTGTCAGGGCCTTCCGACTGATCCAAAATAGAAAGTCGTATAGTGCCTTGGAAAGGCCAAGGCAGATGGCTGTCATATTCTCCTTGCATAGTGTGGACAAACAGAGAAATAAAATTAGCACACCGCTGAGCATTTGGTAACTGGATATGCAGGCGCAAACACAGCTTGTAGCCAGGCTTTCCGGTATAGAAGCCAGGACTGTGCATCACAACAGGTCTCTCTTCTTCCTGGGCTTTCTGAAGTCCGCTGAAGTTCTCAATCTTCCAGATATAAATACCATTACATTGCTGTGCTTCCATTTCAGTAATCTTTCCCTCCAAATTTCGGATAGTACGTTTGAGTTCTGCCATGTGAGTGTTCTGAGTCTCCATTTTAGCAATGAGTTCTCTGATTTGGTGATCTTGTCTTACCAGACGACCTTCCAACTGCTGAATAGTTTCTTTGAAGTTTTCAACTTCTGGATTACAATCATATGTGGCATGTGACACATGTGAGAAGAGGGCAGGCTCAAAGGGTAAGCCATTGATGAAGGGTACAGGATTTGTAGCAGTAACACTGATATTTTGAAAACTCTGAGCCATCATTCTCATGTGAACCTGAGTGAACTCCTGCATGTGTCGTGCCAGTTCATTCCTTTGCATCTAGAATTTAAGAGATGTGGAATTAGGAATACATCAAATACTATCTGCAATCCCAGCTTAAACATGGCTTGGAAGAAAACCAAACTAGTTGCTTCTGTTATGTGAGAAAAACTGGAATATGAATCAAGGACAGAGGATGCGACAAAGCAGCACTTGACCAATGGAGGGTTCCAAATTTAAGATTGCTGTTAATACAAATGAGAAAGGAAATTCAAATGCCAGTGGCAAGTACTGTTCTACTCAAAATAGTGATATGGTGAAAAAAGTGTTAGTGATAAACATCCATTTCCTATTTTTAGTGTCTCACGTATCAGCAATGTATCCCCTCCATTGGTTTGCTAAAATGCTCCCCCGTACCAAACACAAAGGTGTATGAAAACTGATGTAGAAACGCTGAAGGGAAAAGATCTATTTTTACAAAGAGGTATTAAACAACTAAGAATAAGATTATCCAGATTAAATCATTTTAGAATTTCATCAAATTTAAAGCACTGTCACGTTTTCTCTGCTGACCTTTAAGAGCCAACTCTATTTGGTCAGAACTTTGGAAGAAATGCTAGAAGCTACTTTCTTGCTATGAAATCTGAGGAAACACTTATGCATTAATAAAAACAAGTTATCAAGCAAATCATTCACGGAGTTTTTTTAAATTTGGAAAGGACTTTTAAAAGGCAGTGTATGAACATGTAGTGTTTTACAATCAAGATACCTCAAAAGGACAAAAAAAACCCAAACCACCAAACAACCCACAAATCACTGAGGATTTGGGCTGGCAAATGAGACAAGAATAGGAAAACACATTAAAAAAACCCCAAACAACAAACACATGCAGAAGGTGTGCAATTCCTTATTCTGACAAAGGCTTACCTTTTCTGGACACCCAAAGGCACTGTAAAAACATGGCACTGGGGCAGTAGGACAATCATTGTCATAATGGTTAGGCATCTAAAACAAATCAGACTTGAAATTAACTTTTCCATCGAGAGTTTTATTCTTTTATACCATCCTAAAACAATATGACTGCATGGACTCTGAATAAGTAGCTGAAGTCAGATCAGTTTATGCCTATGTAATTTCTAAAGGAAACATAGACTTTTTGAACAAAAATGTTAACTGATAATAAAAATTCTACCTCCTTCTTGTATGTACATTAATGATTCACTATGTTTGTTCTTACAGAAGGCATCAGAAAGCATTCAGGTTTTCTTGCTAGAACAAATGCCTTTTGTTTCTAGCCTATCCTCAAAGTTAGATCACAGTCCATTTAATAGATTCATAGAACATGAATTACAGAATGCTTTGGGTTGGAAAGGACCTTAAAGACTCCAGTTCCCCCCCCCTGCCACAGGCAGGGACACCTTCTACTACACCAGGTTGCTCCAAGCCCCATCCAACCTGGCCTTGAACACTGCCAGGGATTGAGCATTTCCTTCCCTTCTGAAGCACTACTTGCATAGAATCATAGAATAATTAGAGTTGGAAA